ATGGACGAGTTTTTGGACCGTAGCTAATTCTATTTTTTTTGTAGCGTCGGAAAAAAATTACATATTATGTTAGTTCATTTGTTGCTACCAATTATATTTTGATGATAATGTGGCGGAGTAAATATGAAAATTCTCTTTCTTTAACTCGATGATGATAAAGACATTTTTCTCAATTTTACATTTCCTTTGAAACACACTTTTTAAGTTTTTATTTTCTAAAACAATAATGCTATTTGAAATACTAATAACAATAATAATAAGTCATTGTAGATGGAACCCATCAATAACTCCTACATTGGTCACGTAATTGAACGGATCTAAATTTCCAATTCTTCTAAATGCTATATCTTTCTTTTTATATAAACTGCCTCCTTTTATCCTTTTAATTCTTACAAATATTTCCATTGTTATTATCTATTTGATTAATCTTACTATAGCAAAGAGTAAATTGTTATTTAATCTCCATGTTTAATGAAATAATTAGTTAATCCTTTTGTTTTAAAAAACCTAATATCAAGTCCCAATGTTTTCCATATTTGATTGTAACTTGGTCCTTGTATTGATTTTTCATCACAATTAAATTTTTTTATTGCCTAAATATCCTTTATTTGTAATTTAAATTTTTAATTTTACCAATTACCGAAAAAATTAAAAGTGCATTAAAAAATGATAATTTTGAAATTTAAAGAAAAAATAATAGCCAACTTTGGTCAAAGATCTAACTTGTGTTTTTGAAAAACAAAGGAGTATCTTTATTTGATATTGGTACAGTCTTACGTCTAAATTTGAAATTAAAATCTAGAACTGTTGCAAGCATTCTCTGGTTTGTGTCCTCAATAACAGCATCTTTTATCTTTTACACCAAGGCCATTCACTCAGTAATATTCTGCTTCTCTTCCCTTTTTACTGAAGGCTCATGTTTTCCCATGTTTATTTTATGGTTAGCAATGGACTTGGTATAGCAGCAATGACGCTGTCATCGATTAGTTTTGGCACCTCTAGAATCTGTAGCAACCTCTTCTTACCCTCTTGAAATTTTACTTCAAAGGTCGCACGAACATCTCTCTACTATGGCAGCAGCATACTAAACTTTGTTGTCAAAAATTTTAGGGTCTGTGGTGTCATCAAAGTCAGCAACAATATCAATGCTTTCACTAGAACCTTGGATGCTTTCGTCACCAATAAGATCAGCCTTCTTTAACCTCTTTGTTTTCACATTCATCCTTCTCTAATATTTTAAGGAACATTGACTCTCATACTAACTCCTCTTGGTTAGTTTTGCTGTCGGATGAAAGTTTCATCTTCATCAGCATCAAGGTAATCTTCTCTCCTTTAAGACTGAATGGGTATGTGTTCTTAAAGCCACCATGAACAACTTGTATTTTGTATTTTCATGGTCTTTCTAAAAAAAAATGAGGCATGTCTCTATAGAGATCATATTGCACCATACTTCTTCTCGGTACTTATTCGTTATTGAAAACTTAATTAGACATCTTTTGATCATCCAAATAACGCATTCTTTATCCCACCAATCAACCTTCAAAGGTTTGTGATGGTTAACAAGCTGATAGGTTTAAATTTTCCACTATCGTTGTTGACACTAAATTCCTACCACTTCCTCTATCGATGATCACATTATAGACGTTGCCATGTGATATGCATTGAGTATGAAATTTATCATATCTTAACCATTTTTCTTCTTAATCATCGATCATACTCAATTAAATTTGTACTTCTATTTTCACAATCATGTATACATTTGCAAAAACTCATCTTAGCTACGATACCAAATTGATGCTTGGATTGGTGATGACAATGCTAACCTTTAGAAGCTCAAATACAAACAACCACTAAGCCGAATACTCCAAGCAATAATTCAGCCACAAACAAGTTCCAAAACACACAATTCAATCTATAAATATTCCACAAGCCAATATCAAGCCCAATCAACAAATCCATACAAACAAACACAATTAAAATCAAACAATCCCAAAAATCCAACAAAATTCAAAATTTTGCAATAGCCCAAAACCCTAATAAATCTTGCTGAATAATTCTAAAATTTTAACATAGCCTAGTAGACACCTAGATGAAGTTATGTTCTAAAATTCAGATCAATCAAAGACTCATAGGTCTTTATTTTAAATTATCAAAATTCTACACCCAAACAAGCAAAAGAGTCAAACCCTATTTGAGTAGGATTAATCCAAAACTTATGATAATTAATCCAATTAAATCAAGTTTCAATTAACAAAATATATAAAGATGCAAGTTTAATAATCCTTCTTAAAGATAGAGTTTACCACCCTAAAGAAAGATCAATGTACTTACGAGATACGTACATCAAGGAACTTGTAGATACAAATGACACCTCCATAAGATGCTTGAATGCAACAATCAAGAACTCACCTTAGTTGATTACTCTTAGGATGTAAAGAGCATGCCCTAGTACAATGAAGCACAAGTTTGGAGAAAAATCTCACAGATTTATTCATAAAAATATCTCAATCTAAATTCTTAGAAAAGTAGCAAACGGACCATTAGCTCCTAAAAACCCTAATTAAGTCCAAATAGAAGGGAAAAAAACTCTAAAAAGGAAAAGGACTTCAAAAAAACTTCCTAAACTAATTTGAACTTAATAGTTTAAAAGTTCAATCCAAACTTAATAAGGACTAATTAGTCTAGTTCAAATTAAATATGGACTTCCTAAATAATTATAGATTTCTATTTAATTATGAATCCACAATAAAGATGGATTTCGAATCAAATATAGACCCAAATCAACTAAGGACCAAAATAAAACTAAATTAAAATATGCATTCTTATCCAACGAGGATGAACTAAAACAACTTAAACAATAAATAAATCAAGATAACTAAGCCGATATCGTTCGACTCTAATCAAGTAGAAATATTTGCCCAATGCATACTCTTCTAAGCTTAAATTTTTACCAAATAAATAAAGATAACTAAGCCTATATATTACTCTTATTATTTAAACTTAATTATATGAATTTATCATTTTTTATAAAATTTTTCATCTAATTAATATTTTTTATATAAAATTTTATTTACTCGATAAATATAATTTATTTTTCTCTATGCTTGAATTTTAGAATAAAATTTAAAAACATGATTTTTTTTCTTTTTTTAAAAATAAATTGGTATAATATATATCATGAATTCTTAGAATTTTTAAATGATAGTTGCGTGCACACGCGCGCACACACACACACACACACATATATACATACTCCGAATCATTGTTTTTATTAAAAATTAACTATACATCTTCCAATATAATATAAATTATTTACTATGAATATTTTTTTAACATTATAGAATCAATTTATTTGAAATAAAATAATTAAAATAATTTTTTTTAAGGAATCAACCAATTATTCAAATACGAGTTTTTTATGTTAATTTTATTGATTATTTTTTAAATAAATATATAAAGATCAAATGCATATACTTTTAAAAAATAATCTTCTCACCAACATTAAATAAGAATAATTTTTTTTTCATTAGTTAATTTTTATGTAAGCCTACACATTAATTATAACTTTATTTCTTGGATACATTCTTATAAATTTTTAAAGTATTTGTCTTTGAATTCTTAATTAATATTTTAGGTTTAAGTTATTACAAGTTTTTATTTAAGAATCTCTAAATAAAAAAGAATAAATCATTTTTTGAGTAGAAATTTTATGAAAAACACACAAAAAATAGCAATAATTAAATAAAAAAATTATAAAATTTTGAAACAATTTTTTTCTATCTCGCACGTAGCGTTCTGAGATAATTTTAAAAATTAATTTTCTCGTCAAAATTAAATAATTTTTTTTATTTGTTAATATTTATAAAAGTCTATCCATTAATTATATAATTTTATTTTTAGAATACAATATTAGGAAAAATATGTTTTTAAAGTTTTTTTAATTCTTTATTAATATTTTAGTTAAAATTATTATAATTTTTTATTTTACAATCAATGCATAAAGAAGAATGATTTATGTTTTTTTTAAAAAAAAATTTATAAAAAACATTAAAAGAAATATAATTAAAAAATTTTAAAATTTTAAAATAATTTTATTCTATCCTATCTATAGTTACGCGTGCAACCGATTTATTCTTTCTAAAAGTAAATGGAGTCTCTTTAAAACCAAAATAATGAAGCTCACACATGTCAATATTCCCATTGAATTTTTCAGTTCTGTACAGCTGAAGTCGCGCACCCCTGTTTTCCAACATTTTGAATAGTCATTAAAATGACAAATGACATGTTAATATAAGTAAATATAAAGGGCTTAAAAATTAGCGTCAACTTCACATATAAAATTAGTCTAAGTCTCATCCCATTGGACGAATAGTTCATTGTAATATTTTTTTTATTTTGATTTTTTAATAAATCTGTGGCTGGACTAAAAGATCTAAACCTTTGTTGAAGTTTAAATTATTTGAAAATTAATCTTATAACTTTTTATTTTAGAATTAGATTTTTTTCTACTATTTTTCATTGAAATTAAAATTTTTTACTAGGTTTTCATCAACTCCAACGATAGATCAAATTTATTGTTTAAAACTATTTGATTTTTAAATTCTAATTTAAAGTATTGTATATGTTTAGAAAAAGTTTAAAACAATCTGAAAATCGAACGTAAACCTTGGCTAACTGAGAATACTCCTCTCCGTCGAATGAAAAAAAGAAAAGAAGCATGTTAGGAAATGGGCGGACTCAAAAGATTTATGACTAATTGGGCGCAACGCATCGTCAAATGATTCATATGGACAGGAGCCAGTAGGCCCACTACAACAAAGCAGAAGGTAACGTAGCCCAAAGGTTGTGGACTAACTTGAACAAGTAAGCCCAATAAATTCAAAATCAAGAGCGGTGATGGTGCGGTGGAGCCTCCTAAAATTCTTGAAAGTCGCTCTAAATTGACTACACTAAAAAACAGAGCTGGTAGAAAGACAAGAAGGAAAACAAAAACGTCGGCAATGTCATTTAGGGTTTTCAAGGGCTTCAGGGCACTCTTAGCTCCAGCCAAATCTGCCACTGCATCCAAATCGACGGCTACAAAGACAACTGCAGCGAAGCCAAAGCCTAAGCCAAAACCAAAGGCGACTTCTACTACTCCAAAAGCACCCACGGGAATACTCAAGCCAAAGCCTGTCTCTCCTGTTCTCAGTGAATTCTTAGGTGGAGTCCATGAGGCTTCTCGCACTGATGCTGTAAAGAAGATCTGGTCGCACATCAAGCTCCACAACCTCCAGGTCTCTCTTTCTTTCTCTCTCTCGTTCATCTTTTCTGTTTTGTTTTCTTTTCGTTAAGAGCCTAGCATTGCAGTTTATAAAGGTTTTTCTTATTAGTTTTTTTTTTTTTTCATTTATGTTCCTTTTAAACCCTCGATAGGCTGATTCTAATTAGGGTTTCTATTTTTTTAAACCCTCTGTTTTTTGTTGTTGTTGTTGTTGTTGTTGTTGTTGTTATTTTGTTAAACGCTGTGCTTTTATTGCTTGTTAGAAAGCACTTGCTGATTGGGATTTTTAATATCTGTGTTTTTGTGAGTGTTATGTGTTTCATAAACCCTAAATAGAATAGCTTTATTTGTTTATTCTTTGTTTTAGTGTTTATAATTGTCTTACTTTTAAAAAAAAAAAAAAAAGAAGAAAGAAAACTTAAGCGAGGTTGATATAAAATCGTGCTTGTGACCTGCCTGAGAAATTCATTGTGGATGGCGTGAGGGTTAAAGGAAAATTAGATTAATAATTTCTTTTGTGTTTTGAAAAATCAGGGGCATTGTAGACAGACTCTTTAATTCTTATTGTTTTAAATTGTTGGCATTGGGATTGGGGTCTAAATTCATTTGTGGAGTCTGTGAACTTGCAAGATTCTTGTGGTTTCTGGCATTTGTTCCTTGAAAAGGATTATTACCATGCTTCACTGTCCTACCATCTCCTTTACTCTCTGTGCTTTGTGATTGCATTTGTGTTTGTAAGTAGGCACTATTCTGTGTATCTTGTCTGTTGGGTGTTCAAAAGCGAATGAGAGAGCCTGAGATTTTAAATTTTGGGGTAGGCGGTTAGCAGTCAAGTCCATTCTTTCAGTGACACTTGGCTTCTGCATTAGATTGTTATTGTTCATTTTTCTTTGTAATTGTTATGGTATGGATATCACATGCTTATATTGAAAAGAAAATTGATGGTAATAGTTATAATAACAACTTTACTGTCCTACCTTGCCAATGGTAAGAAGCTCGAAGTTGGACATTTGTTGCTATGGGCGGGAGGGGATTTTGTCCAGAAAATTGATGAAATATAAAGAATTAATTATATTTGTTTCTTCATAGTAGAAGAATGGAATTATTTTTGGGCAGAGGCTTTATTAGAGTCTGGTTATCTCTTATTGTTTTTACTCTGCAACAATTTATCCTCAAACTGAAGCTGGTGGGTTGTTCACTTTTTTGCACACCTCTGTATTAGAACTCATGAACTCAATATCAGGACTTGTACCATTGTGTGTAAATTGTCGCAAGATGTTCTTCAGGGTTTGTTCTATGAACTTTTTATTCATGTAGCGTTCACATCAAAATAGATATGACAAAACAGCTTTTATTTAGTACATGTATGTAACTGGATGCTTTGATTGGTAAAAATTTTGGTACACTTCTGTCATGTGTTGAAATATGTGAATATGTTTTTGCCTGCAGAACCCCACAAACAAGAGGGAGATCTTTTGTGATGCAAAGCTAAAGACCCTTTTTGATGGGAAAGACAAGGTTGGATTCTTGGAAATAGGAAAATTGCTGACTGCTCATTTTCCGAAGGCTGATTAACTTCAAGGTGTTAGGGTTGTGGACTTTAGGCTTGAATCACTTTGCTTGTTTTGTGTTGATATTTGCCTTCTGTTAAGAGCCAAACTCTGGTTGAATTGAAGCTTAACTAGTTTTTAGCTGGACATGGTGTAAAATTGGATAGAAAACAGATTAGCTTCTCAACATGGTTTTCTCATATCGCGTCATTTCCTATGATGAGTTTGTTTTAACTGTAGCTTATAACATGCTCTGATAATGTGATTGATGACACAATATTACAAAAGTTGCTTGTACTTTTCCGAAAGGCAAAAACTGTTTACGGTGAGAGTTGTTTAAAGTGCTTTTTGGACATGTATAATCAGCTTTTTGATTGCAGTGGTGACCTATTTGTTAAGCTAAGTTCACTTCTGATTCAAATTATGATGGAACGATTACAACACATGATGACAGTTGATAAATTTGTTCCTGAAGGGAACCATTGGTCAAGCAATGAGAAAGTGCGTCCGTTGTACTCAGCAAGGCAAAGTGGAGCTGAAGGCCATAAATCTTTTAACAAGAGATGCCATATTTATACTGCACGTAAAATCAAGTATACTAAACTGAATGTATCGGAAGTAATTTCCTTGTGAAACATTTAGGGTTGTCATGTCAGTTTGGCATTGACATCAACTTCCACATATGTTTCTAAGCAAAATATGCATCTGCAAATCTTCAACAAGAGCTGCAATACGCCACCTATTAACATGGATTGGTTTAACAATGGAAGTTTCTTTTGGGTGCAATACAAAACATGCAGATAGATCTGCTGTGCGATTGGTAGGGAAGAATATGCATTGGCAGCTGAGCTCTGCAATGACGGGCAGACGAGATGAACTCTCTCACTGGACGTCAGGCGGTTTAGAGCATAGGTCGTACAATGCTGGCGAGTAATCAAAATAGTCTAGACGAGGACTAACACTCAATTGGCTTTTACTGAAGATAAATCAATGTCCTAAAATAGAGGAGCAATCGAACTACCATCGCTCCAGTTCAACCGAGAAGATTGAGACAATCAAAAGGTGGAGAAAAGGTAAGGTTACAATAAATTGAACGTTTTGTCCACTAACCAGACTCGGAAAGAATTTTCTTATCTATCAAGTTTGTTGATAATTCGATATTATACATTCAACTTGCCATTGTCTTACCTTTGTCAGTTGAGGAGATGATGAATCCATTGCTCCACAACAGCTGGAGAACCATACCATGGTCTCAGCTCATCATCTGAACCAACCGGTGAGTGGTATACTCCGTCCAAGCTAATGTTGAGCGCACCGTCCAGATGGGCTGACACTTCTGGCACCACTCCATCACCCCAAACATCCGCCTGCCCACATACCTGACAAAGTACAACATGTCAATATCAGCACTGTCAAGTCACGATGCTGGTCCTGGCTTATCACACCATGAGAACTAATACATGGAAAATGTAGCTTTCAGCTCAGGTTACTGAAAGCAAGTTGCAATAAAATTGTTGGTATGCCAAATAATTTATTGATTTGCCATCAATGCAATTGAGTTTACCTGCTTATACCCTTGCCCAACAAAACGAGCACGAAAGTTGGGTGCAGTAGAAGCTGAATTGCCCATATCATCCACTAGTACAGCCTCTGCACTTGGTTGATCGCTCTCAACAGGTACCATGGATTTAGCTTCCATTTTTGACTCGCCCAAGAAGCGGGCCCCTTGAATATACCTGCAGTTTTTCATCACAAGCTCATGGAACTTCACATGTCTATATCTTCACTGCATGTATGATTTGGTTCTACATAATTCTGGCACATTCTATAGAATGGCTCTTTGCCATGTTGTTATTAACAGTATCCTTTACATATTTCAAAATCAGGGGTACGTCCAAATAAAGTAGGCTTGAAACACCACTAGAGACTTCGTTTATCAAGATTGTCTCCTGATTATGATGTCCAGTCAAATTAGCATGTGAGTGAGCTACTTTATTGTTATATCCAGAAACATGCTTACAAATAAAATGAAGAAAACCTGAAGCTACAGCTAAAATATCATTGGCTAGAATATCTAAATAGTCATGCTCTTTTACATATGCTACCTTCAAAGCTTCATGATATCTGTATTCATATGCAGCTATTTAAGAAGACATTTTGGAGCTAATGCCCGGTTCAAGTGCACATGACAAGTAATATTCACCTATAACTACGTAAATGTGACTCCTTCAAACTGTCCATGAAATAAATTTAAACCAGAAATTTATCCATCAGAACAAAAAGAAAGAATTTTGCTTACCTAACTTTCTGAAGAACCACAATACATTCGCTTTTCCATGATATGACTCCATTAAATAAATAGAAAGAAAATATTTTCATCATTTCCAAGGAAAAGAGGGATTATCTAAACAAAGCTTCCTCTTCATTTGTTTTGATTCTTACACTCTTGGCCTTTCCCTGCTCGTTGGATATACGTGATTCTTTTGAAGGGTTCTGTATTTATTTATTTATTTATTGGGATTCAGGTTTGCTTGTTTGCTCACTTTTTACATGACAACAGAAACGTAAACTTTCATCTGCCTTATGACCAATCAAAAAATTTGGTGTTTCATCTTTCATGAGTTCTATCATATATATTACTTCACAGGCTTCAATGATTCCACAAAAACTGTTATTCAAGTCATTTAATATTATCCAAAATTATGATTTGACACTGAAATATTAAGAACTTGGTGTATGAGTAACGAAGGGTGTATGGTACAAAGATTCACAAAAACTGTTATTCAAGTCATTGAATATATCCAAAATTATGACTTGACACTGAAATAATAAGAACTTGGGTGTATGAGTAACAAAGGGTGTATGGTACAAAGATTTAGTAGTTCATAATTGGAGGGTGAAATATGCGTGAAGGAAGACCTGAAAGCATAGTAGAAATGGTGGTACAAAGCACAAGTTTATTTTCAATGGAACCTAATTGTCTTCTGCTTATATAAGCTCTTTGATCATCGTTGCAGTCTATGCACTGCAGATTCATATGCCAAATAATGAGGATGGAATGGATATTACCGTGATCTTAGTACGGAATAAAGAATGTTTCAATTCTCTCTCTGGCTTCCTGGTCCTAAAGTGCTACCAACTACGCCATTTTCAACACAGCCTGAGGATTGAGTTGATGGAGAAAAACAGTTTGCCATGGACAGGTTGGTTTTGACTTCTAAGAATGGGCTGGATGCAGACGAGGAGAAGTACACGTGAGATTTTCAAATTTTGACTCTTTCTTCGTATATATGTAGATTTTTACTTTTGAATTGGTATTTCCTCAAGAAGGAATACAGAGGGCAGAGAGTTGGATACAAGTGATTGAATCTCATACCATCTAAAAAATGGCTCTGGCTTGTGAAAGATTTAAGTATTTATGTCTGCATAGCAAAATACGAAATCTCAAGGCCTGGTTCCCGCAGCAGAAAAATGAACTTTCATGTTAGTAGCTAATCGTGACATATTACAGCTTATCTTCTTTAATGGGAAAAGTCACATCAAGCACTGACAGTGATATCTCCCTAACAACATCCCTTTTCTTATTGTGAAATATAAGGAAACAATTAGACTCGTGGTTAAGAAAAAGTGTAGATGCATAAAAATCTGGAAAAGATTTGTAATTTGAGAAAAATATAAACAAGTTCTGATTTGTGATTTACCTCCCTACGATGCATACATATCTCAATTCAGGAGTATAAACAGCTTTCATGCAATGTTTTTCAACATAATAAAGGAGACCCCTTGTTTGATCAATTACTCCTGATACGCCTTTTGGAGGTGGCCTGAAATGAAAGATAAATATAACGTGAACCAAGAGTCAAGTGATGTGGAAATTGGAGTTACGCTCTTGCAAAGAGAATGAATCAAGCTATTAGCAGAATCATCAACGAAGTAGCTCTCAACTAAGTACAGAAAATATGAACAAGATATTGAACTGAACAGATCCAAGAGCCATTAGAAGAACACAAAAATATGAAACTGATAACCTACAAGTGGGGAGTACCAAGAGTCAATAACAAGGAGACATCAGACTGCCCGAATTCTTCCATGTAGACACGTGCAAGCCATCCTCCTGCTGAGTGACCAATCAAGGACAAAGTCCCACCTGAAATAAGATGTTTTAATGTTCTACATGAAACTACACTCAAGGCATTAGCAGCTAATGGCGACTTTGATTTAGAATTATAGCTGAAAATGACGTAGGAAAGGGATAAGAGAAATGAAGTATAAGGAAATAACGCAATGCGATTATCCATTACTAGAAACCTTCACTGAATTAACAGTAGGTAGGTTACCTGATAATTTCTAATGTTTTATCTGGGCAATCTTATCTGGAAACTCTTTCATATACTAATGGTTTCGTAAAATGCTTCTGATCAAAGCAAGGATGGATGATTACAATCAGATGTTGCTTTGAAGTATGAACTTTCACTCCGTTAACATCCTCAAAACAACATATTTATGTAGAATAATTCTCAGTCTAGACTGAAATCCCTTCACCATCCCATCAAAGAAGACGGGTGTCTCCTTAGCACTAGTTGGGCTGGATTGGTTGATGTCAAAAGTACTTAATGCAGTCAAGAAATTTATCTAATGGACACTGATCTTTTGCTTTCAGATAGCAGGTTTTTCTAGAGAACCCTTTCAACGTGAACTGCCTAGGACATTATTCCGTAAATTGGTTGATATGAACCAGCAAGTAAATTAGTGCATGCACGTTGCGCTGATTGAGAGACATTTCCTCGTGCTGCTAAACAAGTTCAGGATTCCACTGCCTACCTCAGTCAAGGCAATATGTTCAACTACGATTGCCGAAAGTCAAAACTAACATTACCAGAAGCGAGCATATTGACTAAAACAGAGAATGAAATTAAAGAAATGATGATAAGTTTTCCCGATCAATCACTTATTCTTAAGCCTTTGGAAACTCAATTACACGACTCTTGGGTTCTCCTAATCTGAAAACAAGGCAAGGGCTCAACAACGGGAATGTGTTGGCTAAAATAAACTAAATGCTTTCACATATATAGAACTCTGAATTATTCAGCATTGGTGGTGTATGAGCATCCAAGAAAGCAAAAGACAGTACTTCTAGACATTGCCAACTATTACCTAAACAATACAGGGAAGAAAAAATAAGATTTTCCGCACAAATCTTTGGAAAAGAAAAAATGCAAACAAGATCAATTAGATTTCAGTCATCTATAGCACAGCATATACAGCAAATGTCACCATATTTCAAGCAATAGCCAATTAGCTGGGCAAAGACAATACCTTGTGCCAGCTCCTTTGCTTCTTGGACAGCCTCCTCAACCCTCTTCAGATACCTGGGCGCATCATATGAAAGAAACAAATAAAGGGCACTTCTAAAATCCAATTTGGATTGCATTGCACCAGTTCAAAAACCGAAAAGTCCAGTAATTCAATTCAGTTCATGACTTACCAATCAAGAACAGGTCGAGGCCTTAGAGTGCCACTCCAGTAGTTCGGATCCACCAAACCAGCAGCATTTCTCAGCCAATCAAATCTTGACACCTTAGCTACAACTGTGGGTACCCCATACTCTTGCAATGTCACCTCCAACTTCTGATAGTCCCCTGTATTGTTCCCTAACCCCTGAAACCATCGAATTCTGCTAATTAGTACACTCTTTATCTTTCAAAAACACATGCATACATGCATAAGAGACAGAAAGAGAGAGAAGGAGAGAGTAACTGGAAGAATGACAGCAGGACGAGTGGTGGTAGTGGTAGAAGTGGGGTTGCTAGGAGAAGAGGAGCAATGGAGTTTGAAAATGGACGGTGAAAAGGCGAAAACCATATCCTCGTACAGTCTGTTAATGGTCAGAGCTGCTTACTTAACTGCTGTTTTTTTGACAGTTGGAAATGGAGATATGATTATGTGCAGAGAAATTTTATAATATTTAATATATATAATAGTTGTTTTATGAATTCATTTTAAAAAGAAAAATTGATGAAAAACGATGGAAAATTACGTTAGAACTCATAAAAAAAATTTCTAACTTTCTAACTCAGCTCAATTTTTTTTTTCATACATATGTCATTAGTTATTTTTTCGCTACTATAAAATTTCTTATCAATTCATGGATACCTTAGATTTTCTGCATACGTGTACCCTTTCTCGTCACAAATTTTGGACAAACATAATGCTATCATTTAAGGAAAGAAAGGCGATCTGCAAATTTGAAAGATGGCAAAAAAGAAAAAAGAAAAAAAGAGGCTAAAATGTATTTGGACAGTAACGCGAATTATCCATCACATGAAATATTCCAAATTCTTTTTTATTGTTTTTATTTTCTTATATCCGACTTGGTGCATCGATTCAGGAAAATTTTGGAAGATGAGAGTGAAAGTATTTTTATTTTTATTTTTTTGAGAAAAAAAAATTAAAATATGAGTAAATTATAAATTAGTTCTTTTAGTTTTTCTAAGGAAATTAAATATTTTTATAATTTCAATAATTAGTCCTTATATTTTTTTAATCTATTGTTATTTCTTTTTATTTCAATTCAATTTATTTTGTTTCTTTGTTTTAATAAATAGAAAAAGTAATAAGTAAAAAAAATACAAAGATCCATGAGAAAGAAGATATTTTTTGAAAAAAAATAATATTAAATTAATTATTGTTATTAAAGGATTAATTAATATTTTTTTTAAATAAGTAATTATTTAATTCGTTTTTTTAAAAACTAGAGAGATTAATTTATAATTTATTCATTAAAATATTAACGGGCTGGGTTGATCTGGATCTTAAAACACAGGCCCGAGTCCGACAATATAAAAATGAAAGGGAAGAGGCAGCTGTAAGCACTGATTCTGAGTGTTGTAACTAAGCAGGCAAAATGGCTTCTTCACTTGGGCTACGCTGCTATCACCACCACTACCACCACCATTTTGGCGTTGCAGCAGCAGCAGCCTATCCAATTCGCAAAGCAAAAGCGGCAAAGCAAGTTCTGTGTTCTCTAATACTGAAATCTTCAAAGCCTTATCACCATGTCAGTAACAATAATCATTGCTGTTACTATAATAGTAACAGTATTGCTGCCAAAGAAATTAGAAGCCCTGACTTGGTTGCTTTGGAGTATGCTGACCTTAATCTTTCTGATAAAATTTCTGGGGTAAGAAAAAAACAATTCTGCTTTTGCTCTTTAGCACGTGTTTTTTTTTTTTTTTTCCGATAATCTGATGTGTTTACTAGAATAGAGCTCATAGGTTTATCATAATATGTTGTTTAAGGAATACTTTTGCGTTTTTTTTTCTTACGACAGGAATTGGGTCATGTAAGAATCAGGCAACATGTAAATCCTTTGAGTTCCTCTTTCTCTGTAAGTAATTTGAGCTTGCTCATTACTATGTTTTGACTTCAATCCTTGTAAAAGCACCCTTTGGGTATCCTTACTTTATAATTACTACTGCTGGATATATAATTTTGGCAGGTGCCTGCACAAGTGCCTGATTGGAAGGAAGTTTTCAGGGACCCAACGTTGCCACTCATGGTTGATATTGGAAGTGGTAAGTCTTTGTGCTCTTTGTCTTGTAATGTGCTGCTAATTATTGCTAATTAGTATTGCCACTGTAACTGAATTTTCCATTAGCTAATCTAAGCAGTGACAACTTTTGAAAATGGATACTTTCTTGGTCCTAAGAGAAGGAAAATAAATAATTAAAAAAGAGTTGTCATTCAGTGGTCCTTGTCTACAGTTGCATAGCATTAGTGTATGAGGTATTAAACCATAAGAATCATTATTAGAGTGAAAATGTCCAGGGGATATATGGTGTTACTGGAACACTGGGGTATTCATGGAAGATAATACTTGTTCATTTTGCTGATATGAAAAACTTGTCTCATATTTTCCTGAATTCTATCTTTGAGATTGTGAAAAAGATAATTTGGAAGCAAGAACATGAGACAGGAATGGTAATAAGAACGATGTCTTCATAAATAGAAAAGACACAAGGCCTTTGGAGATACCATAGGTTGTGAAGTTCAAAAGGTTCATATGCCAGTTCTGGGAGGCCGAATTTTGACGAGAGCAAGAGCCATTTACCACTCATATTGTTGTATTCATGGTTATTTTAATTTTGAATTGTGAAAATGAGTCTTAGAGCCATTTATAGAGCATAAAACCTAGAGTAACTTCACCAGAGTTAAAAACGGTGGAGGAAGACGTCATCTGATGGTGGAAAATATCCAAGTCTGAGAGTAAACTATGGTATTGGGGTTTTCTTTCTCCTTCTCTTTTTCCCCTTGTGCTGTGGTTCATAAGAAGTTCAACTGTTTGGTCAATTGTTGACAGTGTGGTATTTTAGGGAAGCATGGGAATGAACTCGTAGAAAAATAGCTTTAGCTGAAACCATGCACCTTCCCCTTTCTCATTGAAATTTAATCTTCTCACCTGGAATATGTCTTTAATAGCAAGAAAAATTGAAAAGTGATGTACTAGTGTGTGAAACTATTTAAGTTACTTCAGGAACACATCTAACTTAATCATGATGGTGCTTTAAATGCTTCATTGTGAGCATATGGGTGGTCCTGTACTCGTGTTCTTAGGTACAGATATTGGACTTCAGGACTGGCTGCCTAAATGCTCTCTACCTTAGAGGAGCTTCTGCATGCCAGCTTTTATTGGATTCTGGTGCAGACCTAGTTCAATGGTAAACCTGGCCAGCGTCAGAACAGCTGGGTGAAGCTGGCTGTAAACATTTAGCTTCATTCCTTCCTTTCTTTTTCTCTATTCAACACCATGTCAGATATACATTACCCTTATAATCACATATTAATGCCCTGGTGTCTTCAGAACCTTAATAAGATATCTGTTCAAAGGACCCCTCAATCTGAGATAGAAAGCAACAGTAGTTAGTTGATACCATGTCTTTTGAAACATTGACTTAGACTGCAGACAGCGCTATGGATGTATCTACATTTCTCCAATTGGGAAGCAAGTTTATCTGAGTTATATGACATCTAATTAAGGCAATACTTTTTTGGCTTGTAGATCGCACTGGACTAGGTGAAATACTTGTTCTGCCTTGTAATACAGCCTCCTTGCTTCCGAAAAACAATCACATTTGTCCTAGATTTTTGAACTCCTGAGAAACTTCCATTTCTGAATGTTTGTTTCTTCAATTCAGCCTTTTCACATTCAAAAGATTGAAAGGAAGAACAAGAAATTCTGATAGGATTAGAGCCTAGGGCCGTGGGGTCCCCTTTCTGTACAGTATAAATATATAGGAATGTTGCTAGGATATACCTACACCAATTTTGAATGAATTGGTTGCTTCCAAGTCCATTCTAGGCATTTGTACTTAGCAACCTCTGAACTTATTATTACTGGAGGCTAGAAAGTTTTCCTGCACTCTGTGCTGAAGCAGAACGAAAGTTATATGGTCAATTCATTACGTTTGAGTGTCCATTTTGCATTACGTACTCCTCTTTTAAATAATAGTCTTGGCTTTCAGGATGTGGTGGATCTATTATCACTAATGTTCTTAGTTGCCATACTATTAATCATAATACAAAAGGCAAACAAGTAGAACCCATTTATTTCAATATGTATATGCCTAACAGCTAAGTAAAATTCCCAGGGAGTGGCAGATTTCTCATATGGCTTGCAAAACGAAATCCTGATTCAGGAAACTATTTGGGACTTGAAATACGGCAGAAAGTATGTGAATGAACTCCCTGGATGACTTTTGATTCACTGCAGAATTCTTCTGATTAAGTAAATGTATATTTAATCGGTCTATTTTCTTTTTTCTCCAAGTATGGCTACTTGTTCTTATCTGGTTATGCTTTTATCCCTTCGCAGCTGGTCAAGCGTGCTAATTTTTGGGTAAAAGAGCTGGCTCTTTCTAACATGTAAGTCTTTGAAAGTTGAGACAGACTTCATGCTTGATAGAGAACGAAAAATCCAATGATATTTTATTGGCTATTTAATGGGGGACAAATTTGAACTTATTGCAGACATTTCCTGTTCGCAAATGCTACAATTTCATTTGAACAATTGGTTCTCACATATCCTGGACCCTTAATGCTAGTCTCAATTTTGGTGAGTGAAATCTTGGCACTGGACCATTCGATACCATGCTAGATGAATTAGTTCTGAACTAGGCTGAAGCAGTTCTAGTCTCATTTATGCAGTGTCCAGACCCTCATTTCAAGAAAAGGCATCATAAAAGAAGGGTTGTGCAGAAAGCATTAGTAGATTCCATCATCAGTCATTTAGTTCCTGGAGGAAAGGTATTTGTTTTAAATATTGACTCTTTTACTGAAAGGTCAACAAATCTTTTTGCTTGACATGTAGTTTTCACCATCTATATTCTTCCTTTGAAAGGTAAACTGTTCTCTGTTCCCTTTAAGGAGAACTAGAAAAGTTCTACTCTCAGTAGTAAATAATATTATAGCATTATTCATCTACTAAATTCATAACAACAAAACACCCTGATTTCTCTAAACAAATCAAATTCTATACTGCTATTCTCTTTGGTGACATGGACCCCAAAATTGCTCAGAGTAAGTATTGATTTAAACTTGTGAGGGCATTTACGAGGAGATTTTTCGATCATTTTTGGTGATGTGAAACGATATCCTTGAAATTTGATAGCACTTGGTAATGATATTTTAACATTATTTTCTAAGTGATAGATAAAACAGTTAATGCAGTCCTGTTTATTTAGTAATGAAATGAATTGTGTGATTACAAGATTCAAATGTCAACAAATATTGTTTGTGTGTGTGTGTGCGTGTGTGTCCATTCTTGCGCTCATTATGTAACAATCTTGAAGAAAATTGTTTATTCGTTTGGAGTGAGGGAAAATATGGGAAAGTGAAGTGAAGGGGAGGAACATGTTTGCTAGTTGTTAACATCCCGTGCACCTTGTATATTAACATCACATTACTTTCTGAAAAAGTTAGCAAATTGTATGGTCATAATCGTGTGCCTGTGAGGAGGAACATGTTTGCTAGTTGTTAACATCCTGTGCACCTTGTTTATTAACATCACATTACTTACTGAAAAAGTTAGCAAATTGTATGGTCATAACCATGTGCCTGTGTATATATATCCACGCCCATACACACGCATGCACGAAGAGAGGAGGGAGGGGAGGGCAGAGGAGGGGGTGGGAGAGGCAGCAGAGAAAGAGGACTCATTGTCTGGAACTCTTGCAGGGGAAAAATTGAAGTTGTAGAAAACCATGCTAAATTTTGTGCACCTAAATCCAAGTTCATTTTTCTTGTTTTCTTTTGTGCACATTGTACAATATGGAATCATAGTTTCTTAACATTGGTAGGCATCTTTGTGTTTCCATGTTGAGCTAGATAGCTAGAGGTGAAGACTCTAGCAGAGGACATGGAAAGATGCTAATTTTATATTTTTTATTTTTATTTAAAAAAAAAAGAATATTGGTAGTTGATCATAGTTAGTCATCATCATTTGTCTTGCAAGTTCTACTTGTCCTTGAATCCAGCTTTGGAAAGTAATATACTCTGGTGGCCTACTTTATCATGCATTTCAATTGCACATTGTAATTGAGTGACACCCGTTGTGCATAGTATATCTACATAGCAATGCATCATTTGAAAAGGTATTTCTAAACAATGACAGTTATATATGGCAAATTTAAAATCCATTTGATGGGAAAAGAAGACTACTTAAACATAATTAAGGGTGCTTAAATGAACTATAAAACTAAATCAGAAAGGCTTGTTTTGTGCTTCTACTTAAAGTTGAATCCAGTGTTAAACCAGTTCGTTTAGGTTTTGAATCTTGTCTATTACTGGAAGCTGACTTCACTGCAAGTTTAAGATAGTGGGTTTTTTTTTTTTTTTCCCTGCTTCCTGGAAGGCAAGACATTAGTGGGATTTAGTGTATTTCACTGAACCAACTTACATCTAACCTGTATCATCCTTTCGCCTGGTTAACGAACACCTGTTAGTTGCTTATCAAGAAGAGTAATGCTATGGGTTCTTAAGTTATTTGTTTGTTTGTTTGTTTTTTTTTTTTTTTTGTTTTTTTGTTTTTAACTAGGATTTGCGTACTAATTGACATGGCATTTATTATAAAGAAGGTATTTCAAATCATGGAATTGAGATCATATCACACTTGATGGTAAAATTATACGGGTAACAAGAAATGGATTGACGTGATAAAGAATGAAATTGCTATTCAAAAATTAGTTTCTGTCTTATATGAAACTAAAGCAGAATAAACAAAAAAAGCATAATTATAATTGCACTAGGAAAAGACCATATTATGGGTGCTACTCAAGTCTCAGTTTGAGTTCTTCTGCCACATCCAAGGCGTATGATGAGGCATGTACATTCTGCTACTGAAAATTTAAAGTGAACCCAATTTCTTATTCTTAACCTTCTACTTTTTTTTGGCTCTCTCCACTTTTTTATTGAAAGTTCAACTAGCTGAGAATATAAGAATGGGAACTAACTGTCAATGTTGCTACATCTCTATGAACCTTATCCAAGTAAAGAAATTTTATATGCTGCATTTAAATTTTTATTATTATACAAACTCCACAAATATCAAAGTTTTAGTCGTGATGGGATGACATTTGCTTTTCTGATTGAACAGGTTTTTCTGCAGTCTGATGTGCTTGATGTGGCTCTGGACATGAGAAACCAATTTGATGCAGAGTCGGATGCACTTCAGCACATTGATGAACTTGACCTGAGTGTACTGTGTGATGATGATGGATGGCTACTGAACAATCCAATGGGAATAAGGAGTGAAAGAGAAATCCATGCTGAATTTGAAGGAGTAAGAATTTATAGAAGGTTGTACCAGAAGAGGACTTAAATTAGAAGTAATCTGTTTGGACAGAGTAATTAACAAGACTCTCCTTGGTTGAGTGGGATTCTTTTCGCTAACTTGGTATCACCTCACCTGTGCTGGGTGTACCAAGTTACGTTAGAACAAATGTGCTAGCCCGGTGCCATTTCTGATGATCGGGAAGAAAAAAAGGGAAGTTTTTCCCTGGTTGAATGTTGTGAAGTAGGGAGATCTTTCAGTTCGAATGTGTAGGAAAAGGGAATTGAGGGTTGGAATGATCTTGCGATCAAGGAAGATATGACTGATGCTAGTAATGAATCCTCAAATGGATATAAGGTCTCAAGATCAACAAATCAGAGCAAGAAATCAATGACAGTCAACACCACCGCTAGCAACATAAGGATCCTCTTCTGTCTTACAAGAGCAGTTGAAATGAAATCAAGTTTACAAGAACGATTGTAGACTCTGAATACAAGAGCAAGCTTATTGACTGATTGCTGCTGATTTGGGTGACTAAGTGACTTGCTGACTTGGTTGCAAAACTATGCGTCGTCTCTTGATTGCTGCAGATCCATTAGACACGTTACAACACCTCTACCTTTAAGAAACCTTGTCCTCGAGGTTGAAAGTAGAAAATTTATTCTGAAGGTCATCAGCAAACTCCCAAGTAGCCTGATATGTAGCACCATTAGACCATTGAACCAGCCACTTTGTAGCATCTCTATTGCCTCGTTTAACCATCTTTTTATCCAAAACAACCACTGGATAAGAAGATCCTGAACTATCAACTGGAAGAGGAATGAAAGTGATTTCTTCAATTGTGAGACATGCAAAGTTGGATGAATTTGAACTCCAGCGGGAAGATCTAATGTATAGGCAACAAAACCTATCTTGTCCAGCACTTCATTAGGACCATGATACATGACAGCAAACTTATGAAAAGATCTCTGAGCCAAACTAACCTGCTTGAACTGTGGAAGTTTTACACACACCAAATCTCCAATTTCAAATTGACCATCCACCTGTTTCTTTTCAGCCTGCTGCTTCATTCGAAGGTGTGCTTTTTCCAACTGATATTTCAATACAGCAGTCATGGATTCCCTTTTCTGAAGCCACTGATCCACACTTAACCATTTTAGATTCTTGAGGCAAGGAAGGAAGATGCACAGGTGGAGGATATCCATGCAATGCCTCAAATTATGTTATGGTGGATTCTGAAAACAATGAAAGCTGTGATTGGTTTCTAATGAGATTATATGAATGCATCAACACATAAATTTATAACAAGCCTTTATGAATAATTTCTTATAGGCAAAAAGTATGGATTCTTTTTTTTTTTTTTTGGGGGGTAAAGAAAACAGTAATTATTTTGCAAACATATTATTTGTTATCCTTACTAATATATATATTCAAAAAACAAGTCATTAGCATTGTACCAGACATGGTGACAGAGCTCGATCATTTTGGCAAGAGGGGAAGAGGAAGTTCATTATACAATTTTATTTTTCTTTCTGAAATTCCATGCACATATAATATAGATGTATGTATATGCATATGTATTTTACAAGAAAAGAATTAATAGATTCAAATTCATTATGAGCTATTTAAAAATTCAATTTTATCATGTACTTTCAATAATGAAGAATATGAAAAAAACAAAAAAAAAATAGTGCAATTGTGAATATGAATAATTTGTAATTTAGAGCATCTATAATACAGAAAATTACAGTGTATATAATTTATGCTATGCCAACTAACTATAAAAAGTAACAAGACATGAAAATAAAATCTTATAAAAAAAAAAAAAAGGTAGAAAAACTCCAAGAACTATATAAGGAAATCAAGGAGAAAAGAAGAAATAAAAATGGAAAGTAGTTTAATCATATGAAGAATTAAGTGGTTCTCCTTAAAAATTGTCAAGCCATTTATTTGTTTGATGTTGAAATGAAGAATGGCCATCTGTCTAATAACATGGCTGAATCATTCAATCAGTGGATGGAAAAGTTCAAGGGCGTATATGCTTTATTTTGCCTAACTTGTTGCTATATTATTATTATTATTATTAAATCAATTTTCAAATTGATTGGCCCATTAATAAAGGTCTGGCCCAAGTAGAAATCTTGGTTAAACGGATCAAATGGTAACTGTGATTTAGTCCACCCAAAAAAAAAAAAAAAAGATGAAATGAAGCACTCAATTTTTTTTTTTTTCTTTTTATAACCAGGAAAAACGTCCTCATCAAGCAGAATTTTGGAAGTTGATATATTTACAAAAATCTTAAACCTTCGCCGGAATCTCCTGCCACTTCAACCTCCTATGACATAGATCAATAGGGCTCCTCATTAATTCTCCAGATTCAAAACTTGAAAGTTGCTCATGTGTTGGATGTAAAAGAACCATATGGTCTTTGCACGTAAAGGGACCCAAAAAAGAAAAAGGAAAAGAGAGACCAGGAAGAGGAGCAAATTATAAATTAGTCTCTCTTGTTCCAGCAAATAAATTAATTAGATCTTTTTGTTTCAAATCTCAATCATTTACTTCTTGTTGCTACTTTTTTAAAGAAAAAATACAATAAAAATTACTCGTGATGTTCTAAATGTTTCAGCAACTACTCTCGCTTCCAAAGCTACATTCAATATGAAAGGTAGAATAATTGATGATTCTTGTGAATCTTTACTTTTAGAAATTGAAAAAGCAATAACTACTACAAGAAAATGGCTTCTAAATGGAAACACAAAACATAAAATATTTTATTTACTTAAACTCATTATATTTCTATTCTTTATATATTAACCAATTATGAAAATTATTGTTTGCCTTTTCTTTAATGTACTTATATATTTTTTTTTCTGTAATAAGATATGTTATGGAGTTGAATAATAAGTATGTTTAAAAGTGATTATTCCATCTGTTTCATTTCAAACTCAAAGATAAGAATCATAGCAAGTAGAATCATTTTTTTTTTTTTTTGAATGAATTGGAGTTCCTTTTATTATTTCAATGTTAGATATAAAAATATAGTTAAACCCAACTCTAACTCTTACATGAGTTCTTTTATAACCTATAATCTCTAAATTATATCATTTTTTTTTTAATCATTTTACTTGGTAAGAGAAGGCATAGAAACAAGTAATTGGAGGTTAAAATTTGAAATATTTAAAAATTGTATTAGAAAAGAATCGATGAGGATTAGATTTAAATATAAGTTAAGGAAATATAATATTAGTACTTATTTAGTTATGAGATATTATTAATATTGTTAAAGTAACATGTACTTTTAAATTTTTGTGAAATAGCTTGTTACAAATATATGATAATATTAATTTTTTTTTATTTCCTTCTTTGCATGTCTTAATTTGTAGCACTATCATTTTAAAATATTTATTATTTTTTTAGTTTTATTTTACTTCCAAACTAGTTTAAGGTAAACATTTTATTAAAATTATTTAATTTTGTGCTTTTAAATTTGTTGAAAAATTGATTAATGAATTATTATTTCAATATGTTTGTATACATATAGTGGTTGAAATATATTTTATATTGAAACAATATATTAAATATAGTAAGTATAATTTTTTTACAAAAATCAAATATTAAATCCGATAAAAATTCGAATCTAGATTGACATTTCAAAATCTAATTCAAATTCATAAAATTTGATTAGATATATTTTATTAAACAAATGGAATTTACATCTACAACGATCCGACTCCGATACAGTCCTATGTAGTATCAATTATTATCTATAAAGTAATTACAGAATAGAAGTATTTATTCTTATCCATAATAAATTAAAATAATAATTATGGTGGGTACTGAACGCTCCTCGCGAAAAAGAAAAATATACTATTCTTTTGGACCCCACCACCCCACACACCCACCCACCCCCGCGGTGGTGGTTAAAAAAACAAAAAAACGAGCATCATGTTCAACCATTATACAAATATAGAATAAAGGAAAGGTAGAGTAAGGAGGAATCATGTCTTCTGCATTTTTTTTTTAATTTCTTTTTCTTAGAAGGTATATTCAGCATTTACTTAAGAATATCTCCAAAATACGCACTTAGTCAAATCAGAAACCCAAACAAATTTTCTAACATTTCCCCAAAAGATAATATTGAGCCCAATCTTTTTTTGGTCGTTCATCGTTTTCGTATGCAATTTTTCTTCTCTTCCTTTTTTTTTTTTTTTTTTTTCCTGTTGCGGGTTCCTCTTTTCATGATTTTTGCCCTATATTTTATTCTTAGCGTTGGAGGATCTAATACTCATGCGTGTTGTTGCTTTTATGGATATTTATTGTTCTGCGTATCTGCGTGAGTGAGATGTTAAAGAAAAAGCGCGTAACACACGCAGAGCAGACGCGTGGCAGCAAAAACGAACGCGTACTATTTAATAATTGAATTGAATTAAACTTGACCGATAAGATATTTGTTTTGTCGGCAATCTATTAATTTTACCTCCGTATAACTAATTTAATCAATTGAGTCCTATATTTTTCAATTGCAGTTAATTGAATCCAATCCACAACTTCCATCCAATTAGAACATTAAGTGAGTCGAGGTGAAGTTTTTTGTCCGATTGAAGTCCGCAAAAAAGTACAAAATTAAAATTCGAAAAAGGTGATTTGATGTCAAGGAAGAAATTATTCAAAAAAAAAAAAAAGTCAAATCACTCAAATTATATTTTATTATTTTAATTCATATTTGTTTTTTTAAAAAAAAAGGTTTGTATTATCATTGGATGAAATTTTTTCCAATAAAGACTTTTCTTGGACCTCATTTTGACTAGTTGTAATCTTTTTAGTATTTTAGGTACAAACTATTAAAGAAGAATGGATAAAAAAAATTTGAATAGCTAAATTTGCCTAAACTACCCAATCCGGTTGACTAAGATTAGATAATTAAGATTTTAATTCAAGCTAAATAAGAAATAAATGTTGGAGTAATTAGTCATCTGTCTCCAAAAATTCAATTATCCGTTTGCTCATCCTTATTCATACCAAAAATAAAAATTCAACCTCAGCTGATGGGATGAAAATGGATGGAAAGAAAAACATAGGGTTCAACTGATCAAAAAACTTACACAGGGATTAAGTTGACGTATTTAGGAAAGTAAAGAGACTAAAATATAGGCTTGAGCCTGATATATGTGGAGGAACGCTCCTCGATGTAGATAGAATCCGTATACGTGTGTGTCTATATATATATATATATATATATATAGACATAGATGTATAAACAGAAAGAACGGAATTCTGGGCTCTTTCATCTCATAAACTGCAAAGAGAAGAGAAGAGAAGAGAAGAGAAGAGATAAAGAAAAGCATTAAACTTTCAATCTATAAACAAATAGTATTTGGTATGTGATCTTTCTAACCCTTTATTCTTTCTTCTTATTGGTGATTTGCTATTTTTGTTTATTTTCAGTCGCTTAAAGATTTATGGCATGTTTCTTGGGTTTTCTTTCTTTCTTTTTTTTGTTTTTTTTTTCTTGATTTATGTTTTTTTTTATTGGTAGAGTTTACAATTTCCTTCGTTGGTTTGGTCCATTTTTCTCTCTTTTGCACTTTTTGCTATGCTTGTGTAATGATCTTGCCGTGGATTATGATTTTATTATGTGTGATTTCCATTGTAAGAGAAAAATCTTTTCTTTTAAATGAAAGAAAAGGCTTTTCTGTTGTTGTGGATTTTCTTGTCATGCATACGAAACACGTGATGATCTTTGGCAAGCTTGATATGTGAAGCATGAACAAATATGGATCAGAATGGTTAGAGAAATCCCCTTAGCTTAGAACATTTATAAAAAATGTTGTTATATGGACCCTTTCTTTCGATCGCTCTCTCGCATTCCTTGGATCTGATGATTTTACTAATTTAAATAACTTGTGAAGTACCACCTATTGAACAATGATGTTGGAGAGCTTTCCTCTGCTAACTTATTTGCTAATTAACAATGTTATTTCCGATTCATCATGTTTGGCTTGAATGTTCTTTTTTTAGCATTTTTGTGCTTTATATAGGTTTATCAGTAATGGGTTCAAATAAACCATCTGGAATTCTCAACATAACTGAATGACTATAGGATCAAGGACTGGGACGAGACCTGGAATTTCATTTCCTTTATACTTGGAAGTTGGACTAAAAGAAAACAAGAGTATAATAAAATATTTCATGCATAACTAATAAAATCAAAGATAATGCAATGTTTATAAATTTAATACTTGCATATTTTTAACTTTTCTTATTTTAGGCTATAATTTTTACAACTATATGTCTTCGACCGCAGAATTATTTCTGTTTTTTCTATTTACAACAAACGCAAGCTACAATATATATATTTCTACTGAAGTTTATTATTCACTTAAATTTTTTACTTGTGAAGAGTATTTCTAATTTTACATGACTTGTATCTCTATTTCTACCTGTGTTTATGCTGTTTGATTGAACTTTATAAATTTCCTTTTGCTTTATATTGACAAATGATATTAAGGGAAAGTGATTATATAAGAAAGAAAAATGATGGTTTTGGTGTTTTTAAAGGCCTGTGCTATTTTTATATTTTTTTATGCCTTGAAAATGTTTGTACATTTTTCGCTTGTTAGATTAATTTTTTCCTAAATTTTTTATTCAGAATTTTTTAGTATTGTATTAATATATTGTAATTCTGTAATAATGCTTTGTGTTTATTTAATTTCAGGCTCCCTTAAAAATTGTTTGTGCTTTCCCATTTGAGTAACTTCCTACATTTTCCTCCCTTTTGGTGGAGTTTTATTGATGCATTTCATAGCAATTTTCTTCTTTTAGAAGTGTTTTAACAGATTGTTCCTTTTAATTTATATAGCATTAGAAAATGGGAGGTGGAAAGGACAAGCCTGACGAGTCTACTGACAAAGGACTGTTTTCAAATCTTGCTGGCTATGCCGCGGGACATTACCCCCCAAGCGCACCATACCCTCCGCATGGTTATCCTCCTCAACAATATCCACCACAGGGATACCCACCTGCAGGTTACCCTTCTCCTGGTGGCTACCCACCATCTGGCTATCCTCCTCCAGGAGCATACCCACCATCGGGATACCCACCAGCAGGTTATCCTCCTCCAGGAGCTTACCCTCCAGCTGGTTACCCTGGCTCATCTGCTCCCCATCATTCAGGTATCTTTGATGATCTTAATACTTAATTCCGAGGCAGGTTGGTTGGTTGGTTGGTTTTTTTTTTTTTTTTTTGACATGGTAGTTAAGTCTAATGTTGATGGTGTCTTACCTTAACTAATGGAGGATCTTTATGGTCCTAAGGTCCTAGCTGTTTGATGTGAAAACTAAGGGGGTAGATTCTGTCTTTACTAGACATCTTGTATCATAAATTACATCTTGTATCATAAATTGCGTCTTTCCAACGACTGATATATCTCATGGTATGCCTTCCTCATTAACTCATAAAGTGTTGTGTGCAAGTGTGCTCTGTGTGTAGCTGCATGCTCAAGTGCATCTGTTTAAATAGATATATCCTGCTATCTTAGGTGGAAGCTATATGATCGATATGGACGCTCAATACCTGAACAATCAATGAGGGCACCCTTAACTGGGGTGTTTGTTGCTGCTGAATTTCTTTGTTGTAAACTTGGATTATAATGCATCTCTACAGAGGTTGATAATTTTTTTATATAAAGAAAAGTCTGTGGGTCAGCTGAAGAGTTCTCTGATGCAATAGCCTTTTAGCTTAGGATGATCTTCTCTAGTTTGATTTGCTACCAATTGAACGAAATTCTGTATTTTATTATGAAGAGCACATATTGACAGAAGTTGGAAACTCTCTTGGTGCTTGCCAGGTCCTTGTCAACTATTTGTTTCAATGTTAGATTGATTGTATTATTTTTATCTCCTCAAACTCAGATTAAGTGATGATGTGGCTTTTATATAATGCATGAATGCTTGCCGTTTTGTTTGTTTTGATTTTGGCTAACTAAAAATTATGACAGGGCATGGAGGAGCTGGTATGGGTATGGGGACATTGTTAGCCGGAGGTGCTGCTGCTGCAGCTGCTGCTTATGGGGCACACCATTTGTCCCATGGTGCTCCTCATATGGGTTATGGAGGTTACCAGGGCTATGGTCACGGCTATGGTCATGGCAAGTTTAAGCACGGCAAGTTTGGCAAGCGCTGGAAGCATGGCGGGTTCGGAAAGCACAAGGGCAAATTCTCCAAGAGATGGAAGTGATTTCAGCCAATGCAACCAGTTTGTCATATTATACTGGCTTCAGCTTTCTGCTACAACTGATTTGGCTCTTTGAGGCCGATTTATGTTTCTTCTAAAGAATATACTTTCAGTTTGGGTGTTAATCTATAGTTCTAACTCGCGTATGAAATGATTGTTGCTCGCTATGGTGTTTCTATGTATATAAAAATTAGCCGATCCTTCATGCAGAAGGGAGTTATCCGTTGTTTTTTTTTAAAAAAAAAGATAAAAAATTGTTTTGCCATTTGCATCTGGAGGCTAAAACTGTGTTGTAGAGACTTTTAGTTGTGGTTGTCAGGAATAAAAATTGAAATATGAAAAAAGAAATATTTCTAGTACTTTATTATATCCATAGAGGAAGTGCCGTAAAGATCAATTCTTCAGCAAAATTTTTGCCAATACAATAAAAATTGCTTGCTGAATCTCATGGTATGAGACAAACGCTGGGATTCTAATTGTCTAATGGAGTCGACTCTCTGGGATTGGAATCCACTTGTGTAACGGAGTTGACCCTCTGGAATTATGAAATAGAAATGTACGAATTAGAAAGAAAATGTGTACAAATTGAAATGAAAATGAAAATTAGAAAAAAAAAATGAAATTTTCATTCTAACATTGTAATATAATTGAAATGAATTTAAATCTTTTTTATATTTAAATTTTAAGATGAATAAAAATAATGATTTGAAATAGTAATATAGAATTTAAATTTTTTAATATTTAAAATTTAAGATGAATAAAATTAATAATTAAAAAATAATTTTATCAATTATAATAGCAGTAAAAACTATAAAAGTGATTATAGTATTGGTGATGCAAGAAGAAATGGTGCGGCATAGAATGTTGTAATGAAAGAAGAGTCTCGATGGTTATAGGATTGGAAGATGAATCAGTAGAACAATAATAATATGTTTTTTCTTATGATCACCAATAATAATGACGGTAACGGTGGTGTAAGTGGTAGTGGTAAAAATATTTCAAACATGATAAATAAAAAATAATACACACTTGTTGAAGGGAAAAAAATCTCAATTCTTATTTTTTGTTTTTATTTTCACCTCTTTATGAGAATAAAATTATGTTTAATTTTTATTTTTACTCTTTATTTCTATCTCTCTCTGTTTCTTTTAATCAAACATTTACAAAAATAGAGTAAAAACTTTTATTTTCATGGATGAAAATTTCTTTTTCAGGGGTAATTTGAAAGATTATGCTCAACACAGCAAAAATAGGGTTGGTATTTGCGAAACTGGTCAGGATGCATGCTGAAGAGTGAAGAGTAATAGGCTGATTACTTCTGCAATTATCTTCAACACAGCTTGATCGGCATCTGCAGAAACAATGCTACTGTTTGATTGTAAGAATCGATTGGGAATGGCTATTTCTTATTGATTCTTCAAATGGGCCCAAGTTTGAACAGTTTGCCTATTTCAAGTTTTATTTCTTTTTTAATTGTGGCTGGGGTAGCATTTCAATAAAGTTAGAGACCTAAAAGAAACGGAAGAAGTTGAGCTGCTGGAACAAAACCCCATTGTTGACATAGTAGCAGCAGCATGTATTAGAGTCCAAAAAGGAATAGGTAGGTCCTTCCATGGCATCTGGTAACCACACATGGAGGAGAGATTATACGGATTAGGCCATTTAGCAATCGTACCGGAAAATAATAGAAAAGTCACACAAAACAACAAGTAAAAAAATTTATAAATAGTTCAACCACTAAATTGTCCCTTTTATCACAACTAATTGAATGTTTCCAAATATATATATATATATATATATATATATATATATATAAGTGAGCGCATGCATTGCTACAACCTCTTCATTGAGGCTTGAATTGAGTAGATTATAAATTTTCCATTTAGTTTCCAGAAAGGAATTAATATCTTGTTTCAAAAACTAATTGTTTAATATTTGTATTTTTAAATTTCCTTGTAACGTAATCTTTTTTAAATTTATTTTGATTTTTTGTTTAAAAAATAAAAAAATAAAAAAAATTGATGACAAAATATAATTTTTTTAAAAATAAAGTAATATTAAATTAAATATGATAAATACTGACTAGTAAATTAAATGATTAGTTTTTGAAACAAGAATAACTAATTAATTCATTTTTGAAAAATAAAAAGACTAATTTATAATTTACTTCCTTGGAATTAGAAACAAAAATTTATTTTTAGAATAAATTATAAATTAGTCCCTCTCATTTCGAGAAATAAATTAATTAATTTTTTTTATTTTAAAAATTAATTATTCAGTCATTTATATTTTAATTCCATCAATAAATTAGTTTTTTCATCAGTTTTTTTATTAAATTAGTGATTTTTTCTAAACTACCCTTCATTTTATGTTTTATTTCTCTTATTCATTCATTTTTCTCTCTCTTCCACAAAAAATCGAAAAAAGAACAATTTGAAAATGAAAATTATTAATTTAACAAAAAATTGATGAAAAGATTAGGTTATTAGTAAAATTAAAACATGAGAGATTAAATCATTAATTTTTGAAACAAAAAGAGAATTAATTAATTCCTTTCTCTAAAAGAGGCTAATTTATAATTTACTCTTTTTTTTAGAACAAAAAAATCTAGGGCAGTATTGGAGACATAATATGGTAGCCAATCATGAACTGTATGGGACAACTAGGAAAAATCTTCAACACCTGCTTCAACGATTTCATTCGTTGGATTTTTGTCCTTTTTTCTTCTTGTATAGAAGATTTTCCTATTAATTTGTTCTCTGTTGCGAATAAAACAAAAGAGATCAATCCAAGGCGAAGTTGAAAATGAAAACAAAATCAAATAGATTGTCCAAGACCAAGATGCTCCTCCATTCCATGTGAGCATGCTCGGCTATATATAGGCCGTGGCCCCTCCCTCATAAGTTGTCCAACAACCATGTGCGTATAGCATGGTTGACCATAAAAAGAGAAGGTTAAGAAATACAAAATAGCTGCTTGGATCCATAATTCCTCCAATCAACTCAGATGAATTCAAAAACATCAGGCCCTACCCTACTTAATATATATCCAAATTCAATATTGATATGTAGCGATGGATATTGAAAATGATGTTTATTTATGGCTTTGTCCATCTCGTGGGACCAATATTAACATGCCCATTAATGTAGCTGATTCAAAGAATTGGTTTTTTCTTGCGATAGTGAGAGTATTTCCAGCTCGGCAGTTATGTACATTAATAGAGAGATTGTTTTTTTTTTTTTTAATAATTTTAAGAACATATATTCTCTGTCTATCTCATGGATAGGTTGGTATCAATACATAGGTTCGAGAGTTTTGTTTTTTCTTGCCAAAGAAAGGATTTGACTATTATTATAAATTTATGTATATACACACAAGTGTATGAACTAAGAACATCACTTCATAAAATTATGATTATTACGAATATATACACTTTTATATTACATTAGTTTGAGGTGAAAATTTTTAATGAAATAACTTTTTAGTCCAACAAGTTTTTTTTCAAACAAACAGCATGATCTCAAAAAAAAAAAAAAAAAAAAAAAAAAAAAAAAAAACTATAGCCAAGCCTTAAACAAACTTTTATGGAGCAAACAACATTACACATGCATTGTCCTTTTTATATGAATTTTTTTTTATGAAAAGAGATCAATATGAGAATTTGACACGACATATTTTTTTTTCCAATTATCTAAAAATAATATTATTAACACATAAAGTGATAATATTTTTTTTAAGTAAAAAAAATTTGTATTAAGTAAACCATCTACTTGTAGATAATCATTCACCATATAAAGTAGGATGACTAGAAATATAAGAGGAGATAATACATGAAAATACAAAATGTGATGAAAGTAGAAAAGGGAAGAAATTGGATTGTTTATGTTAAGAATTGATAAGAGAAGAAAAAAAGATTAAAAGACTTAAAATGATTTTTTTTTTTTATTACACAAGTAAACTTTGAATTTTGTGAACTAATAATTTAAATATAGTGATTGATTTATGGATTATCTACAAGTCGGGTTTACTTAGCTAAATTTTTTTGAGTTATTTCGATTTGGATTATATTTTTACAAATGGATTGACTCGGGTTCACATTTGTCATCTCTAGTTCGGAGAAGTTTTTTCTTTTTTATCATGCATATGTTGTATATGTTGTTTCAACCGATAGTATTATTCCTGAAATTATTTACACGTTGAGCACTAAATACTATATTTATTTTTTAGGTGAGAAAATACTATACTATTGGGTATTACTATATTATTGGGGTTTAATCGCATCAAACATTCATCTCGCTCTTGACATGTTTTTAATGTGGTCTATGCACTTTTTTTTTCAACCCCTTTCTATACACTTTAATTTTTCTTAATGCAACCCCTCTTATTGAAATTCGATCAAACTTTTGATTAGTGATGACGGATGGCAAAAGAATTGTCACGTGGCATGACACATCAAAAATAATTTTTTACGTAATCCAAAAAAATACATACTAATATCCGAAAACCGATTACATAAAAGGAAAAAAAAAGTATGAAAGTAAAAGTTCATTTTCTCTCTCTCTTGTCGTAGTCCTTCTTTTTCATTTCTCTCTTCATCCTTCTCTTCCATTTTTCTCTTCATCTTCTTCTAATATCTCTATTTATGAGAATCTTCTTAAAAAAAAAACATCCATCTTCTTATCATCTCTTCTATAACAAAAACCTCACAATTTATAAGAACTCAAAAATCCCCAAATTTATTTATTTATTTAGTGAAAATCCTAAAACTCTTAAATTGATTTTTTCATTTCGTTAACATCCTAAATTAGATGAGTGCATTATCTTCATCGTCAACATGTAAAAAAAAATTATGATTGATTTAATTTGAGTCTTGTACTCTCACTAACAAATTTGACGATGATAGATAACAATTAATTTGTGCGACTTCACCCCGGACTCCTAAATTGAATTACGAAGAGCTTGTAATGGTATGTCATTGTGGATTGAAGACTACAAGGTGAATG